TCCTTTTTATTCACGCCACCCTATAAATATTTATTTGACTTCGGCTCCTTTTTTTTTGATTTCTAAATTTTCTTCATTTTTACTGCCAGTCAATTTGACAATGTTTTTTCTTGGTTAAATGTTTAAATTGTTGACAATTATAACGCTAAATTTTCAATGCTATATTTTTTAATGGAATAAAAAAAACTAAAATTTTAATGCATTAAAAAATAACATTAATTAATTAATTGAGCGTAGCATAACTAATTAGATTTCATTATTTTCTCTTATTTCAACAATTAATTAATACTAATTGCTAATTGATTTTTAAAAATTTTTCCATCCGCTCTTCTTGCAATTTTTCCTATAATTAAATTATTACTAATATACAATAATATTAAATTTTAATGAGAAATTATGAGACAAACAGATATTTCAATTTTTTTCAAAATGGTAATCGATTGAAATTGAAGTCATTGTTCTTATTACGGTATTGAAGTGAAAAAAGAAAACTTTTTCAGAAATCTCACTTTTAGAATCTTCTGAACCCTCTCTATTCCGGAAATGCTTTTTTCTCTCTCTATTCCGGAAATAAAAATTTTCAAAAAAAAATTTATTCTTCCTATTTTCCGATAGTGATTCTCTATTCAGCAAATTATTACAGTGAATAGTTATATATTCCTGATTTTAAAACAATAAAATATTGGAATGAAATAAAGATAAAAAAAAAGGAAAGTAATGGAATAGGAATTTAGAATATTAGAGTAATTGCCATTCTGTGTCGAAGAAAAGCTAATCGTAAAGTTGAAATTCCATCCGAAAGTATATATTATCCGATTCATCATTCTAATTGATTCCTCTAAGCAATTTGCTGCACTTTTGACGATTTTCCAATTATATTTGCAACGATCTTGCAAAAAGAAAATGATTATTTAAATTTTGATAAATGATTTTAAATTGTTTATTATTCAAAATTATGGAAAGTATGGAATAAATTAAGTATAACGATTGATACTGTAAGAAAATATGTGTAATTAAAATATTTACTATATAGATAAAATAAAAATTATTAATCGATGAATAGATAAAATTAATTATGTTGTAAAAACTAAATGCAGAACTTTTCTTTTTAAATTTAGTTTCAAATAATATGAGGTAAACAATTGATAAGGTGAAAGAAATTTATAAAATTATAAACTACAAAATATTTTATTAACATTAAAATGATATTTATTTCTAATGTTAGTAAATCGTTGAATATTTTCTCTAATTAAAAGAAAAATTTTATAAAATATATTATTTGCTATGTGAAATTCTTCTAAAATCTTAAAATTCATCGAACCTGAATTACGAAATATTCAGTATTTCGGGAAATTTGTCTAATAATCCGGAAAAGCTTCTCCTAATAAATTACAGCAAAGAAATTTTGCTGAACACAATAGCTGGCAATAATTTATTTATATACAGACATATTACTTACAGCTAATGATATCAATTTGAAAGGCTAATGAAAGGCATTTGCTGCTATTTGCAAAGCTTTCGTGCACAGAGCAAAATCAATTAAATAGTTAACATTTAAATGATAACATTAATTGATAAGTGAAAAAAAAGAAAAGATAAAAAATTATTTCGCAACAATAATTTTTTTACTAATGTAATTAATGAGTGCAACAAAATTTTTTAAATCCATTTCATAATAGTAAGGAATTAGTCAAAACAAAAAAATTTCTGAATGTATCAAAATTTCGGCAAAGTTAACTTTTTAATGAATTCATTATATTTGTTATAAACTTAATTTAAAATTACTACAAATTTTTCCGTTCAATTTTTCATTTTTTAATTTTTGTTTTATGCCGGCAAAAAAAAGGATTATAAAAGGAATTTGTGTTAGCTAAACATTTTCAAATATTTGAAATATTTGAATGTTTGAATTTTTTAAAAAAAAAGTAGCTCATTTTGAAGAGAATCACTTTTGATTGTAAAAAAATTTTTTTCTTCCCTAAAAATATAATCTATTCGTCTTTTTAAAGCCATTTCAAATTGTTTGAAAAAATTGCCCTCTAAATGAAATATTTTTTGTCTCAACCTTTTTTTCTTCTTAAATCTCGCAAATATTTCAGTTAAAAAAATGAAGGTGAAAAATTGTTTTAATGAAAACGAATTGCGTGGTTACATTTGATTCAAACTTCCATTTTTTCTTATATCTAACTAGTTTTGGACTTTTTTCTAATTTTAGGATTTTTTCTTTAATTTCAAAAAATTTGCACTCATATCTTTCCTTCCGTCTATATTAGTTTGCTAGTTAGTTGATTGGTTGAATGATTGGTTTGCAAAAATGAAATTTATCGATGAATTTAGCGAAATATATTTTTTGTTAAAATTTATCTAACTTACTTTTTTCATTGGTTGGAAAAATGTGAAAGAATTGCAAAAAGAAAGGGAAGTAAAGAAACAATTGGAAAGTAGAAAAATAATTAATTTTAAATTAAATTTCATTCGCTTAAAATATGCATTTTATATTTGATGCAAACCTTAAAATGCACATTTTATATTTGATGCAACCAAATCTATTTCGTCAAAGAAATAAATAAATAAACAAAAAAAATAAATAAGCAAAAAAATAAACAAAAAATAAATAGGCGAAAAAAGTAAACAAAAAAAAAAGATTGCTTAAACTTTTAATTGCCACAATAGCTAACATCAGGTTTTAATTTTACAATAACTAACATCAGTTTTTAATTTTAACAATTTTTTTTGTTCCAAATTTCTACTTTTCCTTTTTTCGTCTGAAATAATAATGGAAATAATGTTGCCAATAAAATTAATTTGAAATGGAATTTGAAATTAGAAACACCATCACAACAAATTACATTTATTTCTCCAGGATATCTTAAACTTTACGCATAGGCAATCCTTGAAAATATCAGGAAAACTAAGAAAAAAAGCTAATTTTGTAATTAATCCTAAATAACATTACCCGCAATCATCGTCATCATCATCATTATCATCATCATCCATTTCATTTATTTAAAATACCATATGTTTAAATTTTTATTTTCATTTGTTAATAGATTGTGTATACAACACAACACATATGTGCATGTATATAAAGGTAAAAATTTTCCTTCCAGCTTTTATCATTCATTTTGGTGTAAGCATTTTTATGCAAATTTTCATTTTGAAATATTTCGTTAGAAAATATTTGAAATTTGTTGAAATCTCTTTTTTTAATAATAATGATATTCCTTTATCCTTTTTTATTTATTATCACTTCATTTTTCTTAAGTCATTTCTTTCTTTAATTCTGTTATTTTAGTTTTTACTTCATTACTTAATTACTTAATTAATAATGGACGAAGTTATCGGATAACTATTTTATATATAACGATTTTATGTATTAACTTGATAATATTTTATTCGTTTTATTATTTTACTAATTTTGATAATTTTACTATTTTCAAAATTTCATTGTTTACATAAGTTAAAACAATTTTTTTTGATATTTGGTTTTATTAATGAAATTTTATCAATTTGGTTTAATTAATGAAATTTTATCAATTTTATTATTTTAGAAATTTTATATTATTCCTTTGATTGATTTGATCACTTTAGAAATCTTATCATTTTATTTACTGATAATATTTCATTTATTTTACTATTTAAAAAAAACTATTTATCCTCAATCGCTGCTATTTTATTGATTTCATCATTTTTTCAACAATTTCGCAAATTTTATTTTTTACCTATTAAATGATATTTTATTAAATTTCTTTCCTACAAATTTCCTCATTTATGTGATTATTTAGTGAATTAATATCTCTCTGATTAATTTTAACGTATTAATATAATTAAAACCATATAAAATTAAAAGCAAAAAAAACTTTCTTCTATTTTTTTAAAACTTTTTTGAAAGAAGAAATAAAAGGATAAAAATGTATTAAAGATGGATTTTAAACTATTCTAAAAGTATTAAAATTATCGTTTTCTTTCTATCATTTGATTTTGATACTATTTAGTATCAAATTTTGACTATAAATAATTTTTTCCGTTAAAATTTCATACATTCTTCTATTTTAATTTCTTACAAATATTCATTATAAATTCCTCAAGAGAAGAAATTTCATAATTATGTTTTATTTTCAAAATTTCCATTTACGTCTTATAAATTGATGATAAAAAATTTTATCAAATTTAAATTAAAATTACGATTAAAAGTATTTGAACTAATTTTATAAATTCTATCCTAATATTTGCTTATACTACTTTTTCATCATTTTATATTGTATAGGAACAAAATTAAATATAATCACTCGTGTTTTCCTTCTTTTTTGCAATAATAGTGAACGTCATCTAATTATAGCCAACTTTTTTAAATTTTAATTTGGTAAAATTTTGTAAAATTTATCGTAATTTAGTGGTATGTGCAAGAATAACTATTATTTTGAATTCGTCGCAATTGAATTATCAACGAAAATTAACTTTTTCGTTGGTATAAATTTTATGAATGTATGTGTATACGAATGCCTACAGTAATCTATTGTAGTCTACCGTAATCTTAGTTTATATAAATTTTATCTTTTTATATCTATATATGAAGAATATTTGCTATAATCCATTGTAACCTTAGCTTTTTTATTAGTATACTCTTTTCTTAGAGTGTTAAATTTTAGTTCGCTTTCAAGTTTTGTCATCAAAAATGCTGCTTACATTTGCAATCGTAAGTTACAGTTAATGAAAGAATTCTGAAATTAAGATAGCTTAAATTAAACCTGGAAGTGCATTCGATATTTTAAATTTAACAGCTTTATTGATTTTTTTTTCAACAATTTGACATTTATGGATTTAAATAATTTAACTTGCTGTTGAACTAACGATCCGTTTTGAACAATTCACATATAATTTAAATAATCGATGAATTATGAATATTATTAGCTAACTTATTTTCATCTTTTTTCCAGGCAAGAAATAACTTAAAATTTAAAAATTAACTGAATGAAACTTTTCGGAAAAAATTATCATCGATGAAGTCTTATCAGTCACTATTATTGCATAATTATACTTTACGAATATTTTTTCTGTTATATACAGTAATTGTAACTATCAATACAATACAAGCAGAAGATAATGATGTTGCTACGATCAATGTTGATAATTTTGGATATAGAAATTCAAAAGATCATGATACTGGTAGTTACCATCAATCAGTAAGTACGGCAGCAAAAAATGGAATAACAGATGAAGTTGAAGAATTAGTCATTGATGAAGGTCTTATTTTAAATGCACTTAAACAACAACAACGGCAAAAACAACAACAACAACAACAGCAGCTGCGAAAACAACAGCAACAACAACAAAGCGAAGATAAAAAAAGTGTAAATAACGGAGGAAACTTCAACATCGTTAATGTTGCAAGTGCAATTAGCACTACTGACAGTAAACAGGAACAAAATTTGTCTCTTGCTAAAACAAATTTTCTAAAATCTTCATTCTCTCCTAAAAACAATATTATAAATAAGAAAGTCTCGTTATCGATTCATCCCATATCAAATAATTCTAAACTTCCCTCATCATTAATTAATCAATCAAATAATAATGATAGCACTAATAGTAATAATAATATTCAACGGAAAAATTCGGATCGAATATGGAACAATTTAAACGATCGCAGCAATAATCGAAGAAAACGTCGAGCAATGATTGTTGATGATGATAATATGAGTGGAGTAAACGAACTGATTGAAAAATTCAAATCAACAAATCATAATTCACCGACGATTGCATCCAATGAAATTTCAACATCACCAGACTATCACATGCATGATGTTGATGATGATACTGGTGGCGGTAACAGTGATGATGATCGATTCCGAATACCGGTGGAAAATATTGTCATTGTTGGTAGTGATGCAGAGGATGATGATGAAGAAGATACTGATCATGTTCATCATGATGATGACAATGATATTGATAAAAGTAATACTGGAGAAGTTATTTTTAAAGATACAACATTTGATGAACCTGAAACAACGGATAGCTATGAACAGATGAGTTCGGTTGAAGAAAATAGTAAAGAAGATGGAAATACGGAAATGGGAATCGTTCGAATAACACCGGAAATGTTACCAAAACATACGGCAACAGAAGATATTGATAAACAATATAAGATGAAAGTGAAATCAACGATGAATTATTTGGAATCAGGAACAGATGAAGCGTTAAAATCAAGTGAAATAATGGTTATGGAAAAAGAAGGAGGAAAAAAATGGGATGAATTGGAAAAATTGAAAGAAATTATGGATGAAAAATTATTAAAAACTGATATGTCGCAAATTAAAAATCATTTTCTACGAGAAGAAATAGATTTGGTGAGAATTATTGAAATTATTTAAATTTATTCCAAATTTGCAAAAAATTATAGGGAACAATTCAAGAAATGAGAATTTCGGATGATCCTAATGATGCTGCAATTGCATGCGATGATGAAACTGTAAGTCTTTCTTTATCAATTATCAAATATTTTAGGATTGTTTTTGATTTTACAACAATTTTTCGACAAAAATTTTACGGTTGAAAATTTTCATTTTCTTCATTGATTTCCAAGAAAAACCCAAAATAAAACTTTAGAACTTTTAACTTCTTAAATTTTGCCAATAGTAATAGATTTTTCAAATTTTTCTAATAGTAATAAACTTTTTTCAAATTCCAAAAATCTTTAAATTTTCGCATTTTAATATTTTGCCAAAATCTCTAAAAGAATTAGAAAGAAACGCATGAGTGATAAAATTTAATAAGAAATAAAACTGTATTAAATTAATTAATTAATTAATTAATTAAACAAACTTTTTTTCACTTTTGATTTAGTGGAAAAGACGAAAAATGAAGTCGCTGAAGGTAAAAATTTATTTCTATTTTACTATTTGGTTGTTTCATTTTCATAATTGTTGTGGTATAAATGTTGTTTGTTTATTTGTTTATTTGTTTTTTTTTTTTATAAAGCTCTTATTAGTAAAGTAAACAATTTTCTTTTCCATATTGTGAAAGTTCGGAAAAATTATTCAACTTTTCCAATTATTTATTATTAATTAATTTGTTCAATTAACTACAAGCAATAAGTGCTTTTTCATATGTTAATTTCCCTGAATTTTATTTCTTTTGTTTTTTTATTTCCAAAATATAAATTTTGAAAAAATTATTTCATTAAATAATGGAATTAATTTTTCAGGAAGGTAGTGGTCAGCAAGAGGAAGAAGAACTTCAATACTACGGTTTGTTTCATCACTTTCATTTCATTTCTCTCGTATCGAAAAACTATGAAAATTCGTAAAATTAAAAAAAAAATTTTTTTCAAAAAACAATAAATTAAATTATAAAAGCATTAATTAATTAATTCTGTGTGAAATTTCTTTATTATTTGATAGTTTTAAACTGGAAATTTCTAAAACAATATGACAATTTCATTGATAATATATGATAATTTTTAAATGCATCACTTAATTTCAGTTTTCTTTTTACAATTTAAGTTTTACATTTATCATAATATTATTAATCCTAAATTTAATTCGTTTTCTTCTTTGATTTTGCTCGTTCATTATTACATAATAATTTTGATTTTCTATTTTATATTTTATAATCACTTGTAACCTTACTATATGAACTATTATTTGTCCGATATTGATTTTTATTTTCAATCAATGATATATGAAAATTTTGTAGAAAAATCAGATAAGACAACAAGTGTAGTACCACAACAATCTTCCATCTATGCATCATCGGAATATCCACGTGGTAAGTGAAAAAAAGTTTTGTTTTTCATCTAATCCTTTATTTCATATAATTAATATATAATTAATTTTTTTGAATTAATTAATTATAATTCAATTAATTTTGATACCTTAAAAAATTTGGTTTATACATGTAAATTTTTGGTTTAAAATGGATTATACATCAGTTTTAAAGAGAGGTAGATAGAGATAAATTAAGTTTTTGTTAATTTTATTGTTCTTCATAAAATTTATAACGAATTCCGAAATAATCATTCATACTTCCTGAAATCCCTTTTTTGCTATTTATTTTTAATTTCAGAATTATCGTATTTCTTGAAATCCATTTTTTTTGCGATAGTGATAATTTTCAGATGATCATAAGCCTTCCTCTTCCTCTTCTTCATCATCTTATTCCTCATATCCTAACAACAATGTCCAGTTTATTGTTGGCAAATATACAGATAGTTTAATTTTACCCTCATGTGTAACTGCTATTCCGGTTATTCCAAGACTGGAATCGGTTCAATTAATGGAAGGAAAATCACAAGTTCACGAATGTTTGGATAACCGCGGTTATCATACCGATGGTTTGACATTTGTAGAAGGGTCATGCTGTAGAATGATGAAAATAATAGATGCGAATGCATGCTCGCTGTATTATTTTAGTTGTTTTCTATTTGTGGTTGAGAATATCAATTTCTTTATAAAAATTTTCATAATTTATTAATTAATGTAATCGAAATTAATTACTTATCTATATTAGTATAATTTTTTGTTTTATTTATTATATATATATATATACAACAGCATATATATATATATATATATATATATACAACAGCAAACACAAAAATAATTTATTACATATTCGTGCATATTTAATTATTTAATTTTTTATCAGTTCATGATATCTTTTAATGAAATAATTATAACAAAGAAATCGAATGGGATCATTTCAATTTCAATTTAATAAATTTTGAAATTTTAAAACATTTTAATTTTACATCGCCCGTTATTATAATTTTAATAATACATTTAATGATATCAACATGTTACTATTTAATTGCTATCAAGTAGTGTGTAATTGGTACCAGATGTTATAATCCGATTCAATAATGCTTTTTTCTTTTCCTTGGATGATAATGCTGAAATGTTGTGTGAACAAAAAGAAATGTTTTGTAAATTATCGATTGCTTGTAGGATTCTAATTTTTTACCTTATCATTCATTATTAAGCAAGCAAAACTTTTTCAGTGAAGGTAGAAAAAGGTGAAAAAGGTGAAAAAGGCGATAAGGGTGACCGCGGTGAACCAGGATTACAGGGACCAATCGGTCCACAAGGATCACCTGGAACTGTGAGTAAACTTTTTGCTCCTTATATTTTTAACAGTTAATAAATTTGGTTGAAGAAGAAGAAGACTAAATGCCACTTTTGAATAAACATAGAATTTTTCATAATAATAATTTCAGTGTCCAAAGGACTGTCAGTCAGGGCGCGACGGACGTGACGGTACACCTGGGAAGCCAGGGGAGATGGGACCAATGGGACCGATGGGACCACCTGGTCCACCGGGACCATCTGGAATAACAACTACAGTGGTACAAGAGGGACCAGAAGGAGTTGAAACTATTGTTGGTCCCACTGGACCACAAGGACCACCTGGACCAATGGGTTAGTATTCTCTTGCTTAGTTTTATACTAATCATTTTTTAGGAATTTGTCATTAATCATGAATACAATTCAGTATTTTAGGGCCAAGAGGACTGCCAGGACCACCGGGTATCGGAGAACCAGGATTTCCGGGACCTCCAGGAATTCCAGGTCGTTGTGAAAGATTGCATCCCGAAGATATCGCACGAATTATTAGCGATCCTCGAATTAAAGTTTGACACTATACTTTTTGTTTTAATTTTTTTTCAAAGAAATTAATTGAAAGATTTAAATTAGCCAAAGAAAAGCTTGAACCGAGTTAATTAAAAATTATATTCCACAAAAAATTATAGGGTGAAAAAGGTGATTGTCCACCGAGAATGCCGATTCATTATCCGGGTGTAAATAAAGAAATTGATCCTTATCATCATCGTTATGCTATAAAAGGCGAAAAAGGTTAATCATCTCTTTTAATGATAGCATACATTTCTTCGAACAATTAGATTTTAAAAATTAAATTTATCATTAAGCTAAAATTTCTTTTGCAGGTGAACGTGGTGAAACAGGACGAATGGGACCAATGGGTCCAATTGGACATCCAGGACCACCTGGTCCTGCTGGAGCAGGTGTACCACCACCAGTTAGTTATCCGCAACCAATGCATACTGCACCTGGAGGAGTAAAAATATTTAAAAAATAAAAAAAAATTGAGAATAAAAAAGAAATTCAATTGATTAATGAAGTAAAATAGAAACAATGAAATTACAAAAAATTAACAAAACTAAGTAAATTTATCGATTACCTGGAGAAAAATAATGTTAAATGATATTTCGTTTCAATTAAGTTTTTCGGTAAAATTTAAATTAAATTAAAGTGATAAACTTTTAAGTGTTTTAAAAAAATTATCATTTTGATTTTTTATTTTAATTATCATTTTAATCCTTTTATTTTAATCATTTCTTTTCTTTAGCTAATTATTACATTACAATTACTTTTTCCGTAAGCATCAGTTAAATTAAGGTTAAAAATTAAAATAAACCTAAAACTTTTTTGGAAGAATTAAAACGCAATTAATAATATTATTATCATTATTATTATTTATTATTAATTATCATTATTATCAATAATTTTTTATAGGTTCAAGTATATCCAACTACAATTGAATTATTTACCGCTTCACACGGTATGCCTATAGGTTCGCTTACATTTTGCATATCAAGTCAGCAATTATATGTTCGTGTTAATGGTGGTTTCAAGGATATTAAAGTTTGTTTTCTTTCTTTCTTTTCCTTTTAAATTTCTTTATAAAATTTCAGATCTAAAAGATATTTAATTTTGAAATTAAAAATTTCAATTTTTAAATGTAACAAAAATTTGCAAATAAAAAATGAAAAAATAAATAAAAATTTAAAAAATTTAATTTAGCTCGAAGGTTTTCATCCAATTATGGAACATCGTCCAACAGTTGTAAGTCATTTTTAGTGAAAAAATTTTTTCTCCTTTCATTATTATTATTTATAACTATTATTATTACTATTATTTATAACGTAGTAAATTTGCCGGAATCAACATCTTCATCAACAAAATCTAAAAACCTAAACTCTATTTCATCAAAGAAGGATTTTCCTGAAATTTTTAGAAGAATTGACGCAAGCTTTTCTCCGTTGCTAAAGGT